TATTATTATTCACCCCTGATGTTACTCGAGCGCACGTGCGGGTGTGTACGGATGCAACGTGCAAAAGTACACTTGTGTATATATATATATATATAACTATAATCTAGTATAATAATAAGTATATAATCTAACAATAACGCATGTAGGTATATGTGTTTGATTCTATTGATTGCTTGCGGCATCTTTCAATTGCACGTATGCTCGAGCGCACATTACATATGTTTAATCCTTGTTGTTGTGTCGCAGATGGGCGGAGGCGTGAGGAGCTCTGTCATGGCGGACGCGATCTCGCGCGCTCCCGTCGTGCGTCTGCCGTCGGCCTGGCAAGCGGTCGAGCTCAAGCTGTGGCTGCAGAACTTGGGCAACTTCTCCATCATCAAGGAACAGTTTGATTCGACAAGCAGGTGGGTGTGTGTGACATCAACACCCCCCCCCCTTCTCCCCACGCACTACCTGTAGCTACGCAGGGCAGGGCTGTAATCTTAAAAGGGTGAACTTCACGTTGTTTCCCCCCACCCCACCCACTAGCTGTAGCTACGCAAGTTAGGGCTGCCCCACCTTGATTTTATAGAATAATAAAATAAAATATTAGCCTAATTTATGTAAATAACCGTAAAATAAGTGTAAATCCTCCTGTAGTCATCCGTTAAACCGTCCTGCCACACCCACCCCAGCAACACCCGTGCACGTTGACTGGGAGCTGCGCCCTTCCCTCACCACCGTTACTCGGCCGAGACGACGTCATTTCTCCCTCGCGAATTTTCTCGGGGCTACCACCCTGTACGTCGAAAGAGACGGGCATAAGCAGTTATGTTCTAGGCCGAGCTAGCAACAACATCCACAGGGTGGTTATCTTTTATCTCTGTCGAGCAGACTCAGTCGATTGTGCAGCGCACACATTCAGTCAGCAACTCTCTCTCTCTTTCTGCTCTGCAGATTTGCGAAGCTGAGCAAGCTGACGGTGAACGTCGCTGGCCGACTCGTCTACATCCGATTCCAGTCTACGTCAGGCGATGCGATGGGGATGAACATGATCTCCAAGGTGAGAAGTGCAGTGCTTTCTCTCTCTCTATCTCTCTGTCTCTCTTTCTCTCGCTATCCCTATCTTTCTCTTCCTCTCTATCTCTCTTCCTCTCTCTCTCTCTCGTTCTCTCTCTCGCTGTTTGCTCTCTCCCACTCTCTCTCTCTCTGTGTCAATCTTTCTCTTGCTACATTGCTACATCAATCATTCTCTCTCTTTCTCACTATCTCTTTTTTTTCTCTCTCTCTCTCTCTCTTTCTCAATCTCGCTCTGTCTCTGTCACTCTCACTCTTCTCCCTCCCTCCCTTCCGTCGTTAAATAAAGTTTTTACTTACTTACTTACTTACCTTCCTTCTTCCCTCCTTCGTTCTCCCTTCTCACGTTCTCTCTCTCACTGGCAGGGGTCAGAGCTGGCGCTGCGCTACCTACAGGACCATCACTTCCCCCATATGGAGGTGGTGAGCATCAGCGGTAACTTCTGCACCGACAAGAAGCCATCGGCCGTAAACTGGATCGAGGGTCGCGGGAAGTCGGTCGTGTGCGAGGCGGTCGTGCCGGGCAAGGTCGTCAGAGAGGTGAGTCGTCTGTGCTGCGTGTCTGGTCACGCGTCTTCGGTGCTGTACTTGCACTAATTGTGGCTAGCGCATGGCATCTAGCTAGCTAACATGTGTGACTGAAGCAGGAGTAATGTGTGAGTGAGTGAGTGAGTGTGTGCGTGCGTGCGTGCGGGTGAGCTGGCGTACGTGTCTGCGTACGTGCGTGCGTGCGTACGTGCGTGCGTGCGTGCGTGCGTGCGTGCGTGCATATGTGCGTGCGTGCATACGTGCGTGCATGCGTGTGTGTGCATCTGCAAGCTTACATTCACAGTACACGTGTGTGAATGACAGGTGCTGAAGACGACGGTGGCGGCCGTCGTCGATCTCAACATCAGCAAGAACCTCGTCGGCTCGGCGATGGCCGGGAGCATCGGTGGCTTCAACGCTCACGCCGCCAACATCGTCACGGCGATCTTTATAGCAACTGGACAGGTAGGCTGCTGTTTCTTTCTCGCCCCGCCCTTCATGAAGTCAATGTCGTGTGCGATGTCACTCTGCTGTGGCATGTGTCCTTGCTGTAATCCTTGTTCTGTGTCACAGCTGATCATCAGCCCTTCTATGATGTGAATTCTTCTTCATTTTTTTCCTTCTTATTATTATTTTACTACTTCTTCTTCTTCCTCCTCTTCTTTTTTTTCTTCTTCTTCTTCTTATTATTATCATTATTGTTATTTTACTTCTTTTATTTCTTCTTCTTATTATTATCATTATTATTATTTTACTTCTTCTTAATTCTTCGTCTTCGTCTTCTTCTTCTTCTTCTTCTTAATTCTTCGTCTTCTTCTTCTTCTTCTTCTTTTTCTCTGACACTTGACGCTTGTTTCTGTGCAGGACCCGGCACAAAACATCGAGAGCTCAAACTGCATAACACAGATGGAGCCAGCCGGTGATGGTGGCGAGGACCTCTATATTACCTGCACTATGCCATGCATAGAGGTGGGCACTGTAGGTGGAGGCACCATACTACCGCCCCAGGCAGCATGCCTCCAGGTAATGCAGAGTATATGTGGAATAAAGTGGGGAATGATATACTTAAGAAGGCTTCATTGAGAATAAATTGAGATCTGATTTCCAAATTGGTTTTGATGTAATGGTGTTAGTGTATGTTATATTAAGCAAAGAGCTAAGATGTAAACCCTTTCGCGGGAAAAAATTGGCTCTATGGGATTACAAAAGTGTGTTGTTTTTCAGTTGCATGTGTGACTTTTCATCTTCTATGCGTGCGCTGCCACTTGTTTTTTCTGCGGCGTATACACGTGTGTTTTTTCTGCGGCGTGCATTGCAGAGCTGGGCGTGATCACACATGCGCTGACACTTGTTTTTTTCTGCGGCGTGCGTTGCAGAGCTGGGCGTGATCACACGTGCGCTGACACTTGTTTTTTCTTATGTTGTAGATACTTGGTGTGTGCGGAGGTTGCCGGGAGGAGCCGGGTAGGAACGCGAGTACGCTCGCTAGCATTGTCTGTGCCACCGTGCTCGCGGGAGAACTCAACCTCCTCTCCGCACTAGCCGCCGGCCATCTCGTAAAGAGCCACATGAAGTACAACAGGTGTGTGTGGGTCAGAACTACAGTGTGTGAAGCTGGGTTTACACTATCAACTACAGTACACAATCTATTATCCGAAATTCTGAAAACCAAGAAAAAACCGAAAGTTTTTTCGTGGAGGTCGTCTGCACACCAAAGCTCGCGTTTGGCTGCACGAGGTTCACTGCATAAATATTAATGTGTTTGGCATTACTCATACATTTTGTACTGTACTGGTACAGCACTTGGCCTCTTGCAAATTTGGGTTTCAGCACTGGCTAGTTGCAGGATATTTGGTATGTATATCTGTAATGTACTACCATTCTGAAATTCAAAAAATTCCGAATTCTGAAACGTGTCTGGTCCCAAGGGTTTCAGATAATAGATTGTGTACTGAATCTGTTGAAATGTTGACGAGTTGATAAACGTTTGCCGACTCGCGGTCGATGACGTAAAAGCTTTAAACACATGATAGAAAGGTTGATGAAATGTTGAAAAGTTTATCAACTCGTTGACTTTTCCATAGTGTAAACCCAGCTTGAGGTTTACGCATCCTTCCTCGATTTTCGCCTCATTCTGAACTGCAACGGGGACTTTACTGCATAATGCAGGGAAAATGAATAACACTGTGTAACCTGCAAAATGTGTACGTACACGGCACGCTTAATGCTGTACGGTCAAACTAGCATATATAATTATAAGGGTGACCTAAAGGAAATGCTACAAGTGGCCTTTACAGACAGGAATCCATTCTATAGAATTGTATCCACTGCATACCTGCTATTCGGGGAAATGTCAAAAGTGGCCCTAATAGAGAGGTGTCTGTTCTATAGAGGTGACCACTAAGATAGGTTTGACTGTACATAGTTTATGATCGACACCCATATGTGCCATTTCCAAACTCACGAGATTTTTGTGTTGATACCATCCAAATGAACTGTGACGTGGTTGCACGCATACAATAACCAGAGTACAATAATGCAAAATCAATATAAAGAGCTAATAATATATGTATTAATACATGTGTGCATGTAATAATATATGTATTCTTAGCTGCTGATAATATATCTAATAATAATAATAATCATAGTGTTTACTCCTTATAACAGCTTGTAAGGATGGTTATACTGCACCAAGTCTTGTAGCACTTTGAAGAAGCATTGCTGTGTTCTTAATGCGTGTTTTTCTGTATTTTAGGTCAAGTGTTAGTATGAGTGGAGGAATCGTTGCAGACAATGCCTCATGAGACACGATGAGTCTGTAGACGTCTCGCGAGACCACCGTGAGACACGAGACTGTAGGTACCCTACGAGACGCTGCGTCGCGAGTCGTAGAGACCGAGTGTCTCCTGAGACATTAGCTGTGAGGGTACTGGCTCGGCTAATCGCTGGTCTTTGAGGCATTTCAAACGTTGAGACATGCCACCTGTGTTGTGAGACACTCGGGCGCCTCTATCGTCGTCTAATGCAGACTTGATTGATACGCAGTCGTCTGGCAGTCGTGTGGTAGTTGGGCTTGTGCTACTGCGAGAAGAGCGGTGGTATAGTTGTGTATATAGATAGCCTTACGGGTGTTGCAGCCTGTGCACCTAAATGCTTGATAGAAACACTACTGGCTGCTGCAGCCATACCTAGACGTTCAAGACAGATATCTGATATCTCATCACTAGGGTTGGCATTGTGTATGTAAAGTTTACACGTGTTACATATGAGAGAGAGAGAGAGAGAGAGAGAGCACGCGGATAGGCATGTATGGTGAGGGTTACGGCTACTATTGCCCGGCCGTGCGTGTGATTCAACCCGTCCGTAAGGCAGTACACTCCAACACACACTCTACACTCTCTGATATACACACTTTGATATAAGACAGTACACTCCAGCACTCTACACTCTCTGATATAAGGCAGTTAAGGCAGTTATCACTCTCTGATATAAGTACACTCCAGCAGACTCTACACTCTCTGAATAAATCATGGCGATGTATGGCCCCGTGTTAATTACGCGGCGTCTGCGCGTTCACTGCTTAATAGCAGGAGTTACCGCATCCGCACCGCCATTAGTTTCGGAGCCACTAATTATATTCTAAGTTCAATGCGGAGCATGTTGTGGAATCGCCGAGGTTACTGTTGCCCCTGCCGACGGCATGGATGGGTGTTTAGATGAAGATACAACTCATGTAGACATATCAATATACGAAGAGGCGGAGAAAAGACGCGCGTACGCAGAAAGAAAGAGAGAGAGACAGAGAGAGAGAAGGAGAGAGAGAGAGAGAAAACAAGAAGGATAGAAGTAGAGACGCCGAAAGGAAGGAGGAGAAAGAGAGATAGGGAAAGATCAAAGGAAAGAGAGAGAGAGAGAGAAAGAGAGAAAGAGAGAACGAGAGGCGGACGGATCCAGACAGGGGCAGAGATTTACACGAGAGAAACATTGGCTATCTTCAATAGCTGGACAGTAAATACACCTCTCTGTGATTCATCCCCGCTATCTCTCACGCGCACGCGTCTAACATCGTGTAGGTCCTACAAGCTGCACTCACGATGGGGAGGCGCCTTGGTCTAGCATTGATGTGTGGTATCATCTGTCTAACAGCAGGTAAGAAAAGAAAATCGCTACCATAGAGGTGAGGTTTAAAAATGAGAGATTTAGTGTAAAGTCAGCGTGTGCGTGCGTGCGCGTGTATGCAAGAATATTACATACATGTGTTTATATAAACACACACGCGCGCGCGCACACACACGCACGCGCGCGCACACGCACACACTTGAATGTCAGGGTTTATTGCAGTTTAGGCCGCATCACAGATTGGAACTAGGAACTGCACTGTAAGTGCAGTTTATTAGCATATTTTGCAACTACAGTGCGACCTCCTTTATCCGGCCATCCGTTATCCGGAAATCTCTATTAACCGGCCGTGATCTCGCAGTGTATGTTCTCTGTTTTTCATTCATTTCCACCTAAAAATCTCGCTCAAAACTCGCTCAAAACTCGCGCGATGTACCAACCGTACGTGTGTTTGCGCAAGTGCGCGTGTGTGTGTGTTGTCCGCTCGTGTTCGCTATGCCTCCGGTAAAATTTATGTTTTATTTCATTTTATTTCCATTTCATATAAACCATAAAACACGACAGTTTGTTACAAATATTCATAGCAACGAGTAAGTAAATTATCACATGCATAAACCCTACTGAACTGCATAGAAATGCTGTGTTTGAGCATAACTCTCATATCCGGCCAAATCCCATATCCGGATGGGTGCCGGTCTCGACGTGGCCGGATAAAAGAGGTCGGACTGTAGTAAATAAGTTCTAACCTATGAACCTAATTAATTTAATTTTGCTTAGGAAGCAGTATTGATTTCGCGTGAGTGGTACCTCATAATGATATGACAGTGCGTGTTTGGGACTGGAAGAGAACCCCCTCCTCCAATAAACTGCTCCCTGCTAACTTCTATCTTATAAACTCTTATAATTGCTTTACTTTCCCTCTAGTCTTATAATTTCCTCTCTCTCTCTCTCTCTCTCTCTCTCTCTTAACATTCCATCATCTTAACTACAGCCTTCATCTCAAACACGTCTTCGTTTTGTGGTGGTAATATAAGAACTGCATAGAATAATCTGTGATCTAGTCCTTGTGTCCATCACTCACTGCACCATTGCCGAGCTCGCCATCGTCTGCTTTGTGGCGCCATCTTGTGGCTGAAATATTGCTCTTTTATACCAGACATCAGGAGTAAGATGATAAAAGATAATCCCTTCTTATCCCTTATTAATGCCTTACTATCCGTCACTATCCGTCATTATTCATCATTATCCCCAATTATCTCTCATTTACCTTATTAATCCTTTATTATCGTACTCCTGATCATATAATTGGCATTCAGGTGAGCCTGGCCTGCCTGCCGTCTATCATGAAAGGTGCTATTGCTGTTAAAGGTGATATGTAATAATGGCTATCCATTATTTCCTATTTAGCATCTCTGTATAGTTACCGTGTCCGACGTGTAACCCGATGTACAGACTTGTGCGATTTGATGTGTTTTGCGAATTAATAATGAAACGCTTCTGTGAGATGTGACAATTAAGTAAGAATGTAGGAGAATGTCGCGCATTGCTGCTTGGCACCTGTACGCCATATAGCCGTGTACATGTGGGGCCGGATGAGGGATATGATATGCTCTATTTATGTCTTTGTTGATATCTTGTTAT